GTACTCTCATGTTCCGATTAACCCAGCTTCCCCCAAATCTCTTTTTTGTGTCCATATATACACCGGGATCCTGAGTCGAGGCTAATCCTGTTGCTGTGGTCGTGTGTCCTGGATCCTCTATCCTGAGCACTGGATCTGAGTCCTGGACTTCGAGTCGTGGCTGAACCTGTCTCTGCGGTCCTGCCAGACTCTCACCATACTACTTCCCTGATGGCTCCCACAGGATTGCTGACATCCTCGTGGATTCATCTTCTTATTACAGACATATGCATTTCCAAACATTTGGACTACCTATGTTGTAAATGTATTATCTTTTCAATTTACACACGGCATCTATTGCACGTCTGTCCGTCCTGGGAGAGGGATCCCTCCTCTGTTGCTCTCCCTGAGGTTTCTCCCATTTTTCCCTTTAAACTGTGGGTTTTCTCTGGAAGTGTTTCCTTGTACGATGTGAGGGTCTAAGGACAGAGGGTGTCGTATTGTCATACTGATATTCTGTACACACTGTGAAGACCACTGAGACAAATGTAACATTTGTGATATTGGGCTATATAAATAAACATTGATTTATTGATTCGCAGTTTTCCAAACATCTGGAATGACATTGCTTGTTATAGAAAGATTAAAAACATGACAAAGTGGTTTGGCTATAATATCTGCAGCTAGCCATAAGAAATAAGGGGGGATATCATCCGGACCTGCTGATTTTTTGGGGTCTAGGTCCTTTAGAGCCTTACAAACCTCCCCAACATTGAAGGGGTTGAAGGAGAAAGTGTGGCTACTGGAGGCATGACTGGTGGTGATGGAGGGAGATGATTTACCAAAAGATAATGTGTCAAACAAGGAACTGGAGGCACTAAAATGTTTATTAAAACAATTAAGCATCTCTGTCTTATTTGACAGAGGGGTGGAGTCAACAACAATGTTAGGAGGCAGCTCTAAGGAGCGAGAGCTGGCAGAGAGGGATTTTATGGTATGCCAAAATCTCCTAGGATCGTTTAAACTGTCTGTGGTCTGGGATAAGTAAAAATCGCTTTTGGCGTTTTTAATGGAAGCAGTATAGCGATTACGCAGTTGACGAAAAAGAAGCCAGTCAGCCTCAGAGCCTGTCTTCCTCGCAGCAGCCCAAAGGAGATTCCTCTTGCGTAAGAGGGCTGCCAGATCAGAAGTGAACCAGGGGTTATCACGGCCCTTCACCCTGAACCGGCGAAACGGAGCATGTTTATCTAAAAAATAACTAAACTGTCATAAAAATACTTCCAAGCATGGTCAACATCACCAATCAATAAAAGACGATCCCATTTAAAATGAACTAAGTCATGAAGAAAGGCTTGCTCTATAAAGTGCTTAACATTTCTTTTCAGAACAACACAGGGTTTGGTACGGGCTATTTTGTATCCCTAATAGCACCCACTAGACCAGTGGTTCTCAAATGGGGGTACGCGGACCCCTAGGGGTATGTTGGAGTACTGCAGGGGGTACGTGAGATTTATTTTATGTTAATGAAAAAACAACATAAGTAATGCATTTAAACAAACTACTAATAGTAGATTAACTACTTTATTGAAAGGTTTACAGTAATTCTGGATAATAACATGGGAAAAATAAAAGGGGTGCTCTCTTTTCCTCTCCCTCTCCTGACAGCCCATCAGTCTTGTGCAGCTCGCTGAACCTGTAATGAGTGACCCGACAGTAAAGAATACATATATTTATAACTCATTTAGCTTGTTCCAGAGTAAATAAACAAGCTAAGTGTGTTAGGTCTAACTCTTAGTGTGTTTTGCTCCACTCAACGGTCCGTCACAGTGGGGGAGCTGTGATCCGGTAGAGCTGCGTGTTCTCCGTCAGCAGCAGCTGATCTGATCTCTGATCTCTCTCTCTCGTCCGGTTAGACTTCACTCGCATTTATGTCCAAATCTATCAGATCTAGCTAGTTCTAGTTAATGATATGACTGCCTGCTTATCAAAGGACACCTAAACAATAAGCGTTGCTTGGCAACGGCGTGTGGCCGCAAAGTATAGCGCAGCATTATGCATATGTTTATATGAGGGGTCAAAATCCCATGCTCATAAAATGCTCATATATTTTTTTCTCTACATTCCCCACTCCCCAAAATAAATAAATATTCCAATTTTCGGAAAAGTAACGAAGTTTGAGCAGTGTGGGTTTTATATGAACACACATATTTCAAAACACGAAGTGTAATAACTGCAGTTGCCTCCCTGTCAGAATGACAAAGATCCTCAGTGAAGCACAAGCCCATGTTTCTCACTACATTGTAAGTACAACTTATTAAAAAGATCAGTTCAATGCAACTAATGTCGTCCTAGTGTTATTGCATGATGTTAAAATTGGTTTGCCATGAATTTAGTGATGGATTGTAAACATTTGAAATGTAGCATTGAAGTGTTTCTCAGTTACAAGGTTGTTGTTTTAATAAATCAGACACTGATGGTGCAGCGCTGTACTGTACCTCTTTATATAGGCGTTTCTTCCTTAACAAAATGTGTTTGCGCTGATCAGGGGGTACTTGGCATAATTTTTTTTTTCAAAGGGGGTACATTATTGAACAAAGTTTGAGAACCACTGAACTAGACAATGATCACTTAGGTCATTAGCAAAGACCCCGGTTGCATATGTATATATATATACATACATACATATAGCCTACATATATATACATATATATATATATTTAATATATTACCAAGTGGTTTCATGTACAACCTACACAAGTATCATGCTAAATTAATCTCTGTTGCTTGGATATCACTAGATCCTGTTACATCAGCGTAATATAAAAGTACATAACGATTTATGTATAAATTAGCAATTACTAGCTAGCCGCTAGCTGCTAACTGCCGCGGCTGCCTCGTTAGTATCAAAATCCATCATATAGCCTAACATCCATTACCATGCTGTCATGAACGCGTGGTGCTGTTACGTGTACAAATTAACGTGCTTAATGTGAACAAGCCTTTTGGGGGGCCTGGGTTGCGGTCGGATAATCCAAAAATCAGCTCCTAACGTCTAACCCTATCGTCTATTCCTTGACCTCTGAGTGAACGTCACGGGGTTAAGGGATAGTGGATAGGAGAATTCAAAAGGATTTAGGAGAAGAGACTGCGGTACTTTAGAGAATCCGAATGCACTTTCACTATCCGATGTGTTTATGATGCGCCAGCGGACGTCATTAATGTGCGTCTGCTGCTGTGGGGAAACTATGGAAACTACAGTTTTCTATAGCGGACTACAACATGGATGTATACATCCATGTTGTATAAGAAGGAGGGACTACTGTAAACTCATCTATAGTCTCTGCACCGTGCTCTGATGCTGTTGTTTTATGTTTTATGATAATTAATAAAATGCAAACCGATCTTTTTCATATGGGTGTTTTAGAGTTGTGCCCCCTAGATCAGTCTCTAGTAGCCTAATTGTGTGCTCAAAGTGCACCAGATTGAAGCATTTTACTTTAAAATGTTAAAACAAATCTTCCCGGTGGTCCACCCCCGGACCCCCCTAGGCCTAGAGGATGTGAAGTCCAACCCCCAATTAAAACATGTTCATTAGGGGTGGGCGATACCACAAAATCTGGATTCGATCCGATACCAAGTATTTCAGGGCCAGTATCGCCGATACCGATATCGATACCGATACTTTTTTTTTAATGAAAAGCGTCTTATGTACTTTCATATAGGGGAGAGCTGCATGACATGATTTTTTAGCTGAAATCATCATAAATAGACTAAA